TGATTTTAAAAACTGGCATTTATGACAACAACCAATAAAAAGCTGCCATTTGAATTAATTCTCCAACATCAGAAACTTTGTTGGTTGAATAAAATTGAACTAGAAGCTGTCAAAGCTCAAAACGGTGATAAAAGCTGTTGCATTATTTTTTATATTTAGCCCAAACATCATTATTTTAGAGTGGACCTGAATTTGTGCCTCTTCATCTAAAATCTTTTACATCTTCCTCCTGCTGAAAAACTCACATCAACCAGCGAAGCCTCACAGAAACGTCCAGCCGCTCTTTTTATGGACGGCGTGTTTTTTCTTATTCACTCAGAGAGTTTAGAGCTGTGAGGACCCAGCAGAGCATCACCGCCTGTATGGCACTAAAACCCTGTCCATCGGGGGGCAGTTACAGACAGGAGGGGCTTCTCTATGAGGGACGGGACGTCTGCTGATGGACTCTTTATGAACGGTTCTGATCCGCCCTGATTTATGCTCGAACTTCTCACACGTTCTCTGCAACATGAGAAAGAATCAGGACAGACGTGTGATAAAACCAAACGTGTGAGTGGACATGATGTCTGTTTCTGTGACTCTCTGGCTGTCGTAGGTCCATTAATGAGCTTTAAACTGTTCCACACTGACCTGTTGTTTCCAGACACACACCCAAACATCTTTCTTGGCCAGTTCTCACGACACTCATTCATGCAAAGCTTCTATAGGCTACGGCCACATTCAGACTAAATCTAGCACCAATAGAAAGCCCAGAGCTCGCAGTCACACTCTCCCTGCACACAAATGGCCTTTGTTTGGTTTGCTCTCGTGCGGTTCGGCCTTTTGTTGAGTTTCTCTTCTCTGCAATAGCTTTTGACACGCGGCTCATTCAGGTGATGTTGACAGACGCAAAGCTGGAAATCAAGCAGGTACAGTTAGAACGTTCTCATTCGCTGTAGAATTTGTCGCAGTGAGCTCCTGTTAGTCTAAACATGGAGACCAACATGTCAGACGGGTAGAAACCAGCCGGCCTGCGGTCGTGTTATAGCTGAAACAACAGCAGCATCTGTACCACAGGATCCAGATGTAGAAGCTCATGAGGGAAATGTGACGCCTGCTCATGGCGTCCATCCATCTTTGCCTTTTTAAAAATTTAATTCTTTTATCAATCAGTCAATTTTATGCACAGTTCAGCTTTAGCAAATCAGGATAAAGAAGAAGAAGAAACTCTAGAAATGAAGGTTGAGGGATGAACATCCAGCGTTTGTTGTTGAATAACACAACAAATGGTGTCATCTCCATCAGTGGAATGAATGAAATGTTCAATCTGTTTAAAGTTTACTTTTATTTTCTTCCTGTTCTGAGGTTCATGTGGCTCCTCTTTGACACACTGGGCGTCCATCCCAGGTCATCTTCAGAGTTTAACCTTTTAACTAAATCGTTTGCAGGTTCGTTCAAAGTAAAGTTTATATAAAATGTCAGATCCTGAGCTCTTCTCTCTGTGCTCCAGACAGCTGTGTGTCTTCAATGTATTAGTCTCATTTATGATGATTTACAGATACACAGATATCATCATCTGGTTAGTATATAATCATCTGTATAGATATAATCATGTATACAGCTGAACCTTGTGACAGATGTTTGAGAACCACTGAAGCAAGATGATATATTTTATAGGCTCTTAATACTCATTTAAACTTTTGATAATTGTTTTATTTCAATAAACAGAGTTCACTCAACTCATTAAATGAAGTTTATAAGAAACTAAACTAGCATAGAAGCAGAGTTTCCAGGATGAATTATTAGAGCTGAAGCCTCCACTGGAGCCTTGTTGTGACAAACCTGGTGTTTATGTTGTTCAAACAGCAAAGCACAGTCATCACAAAGCAGTTTAATTAAATTAACTCATCTTTTCTAATTGGCTT